CTGCATATAGGTTGAAAAGGTATGGAGATAGGATGCATCCCTGGCGTACGCCCTTCCCAATTTTGAACCATGCAGTGTTCCCTTGCTCTGTTCTGCCGACTGCCTCCTGGTCCAAGTATAGGTTTCGCAATAGAATGATCAAGTGTTCTGCGATACCCATTCTTCTCAGAGTCAGCCTAATCACATATATCTCTTTTAAACAGTTTTCTCCCTCCTCTGTTTCAGTGCAGTATATAGTATTGAACCCATCTTACTCAGTCTGTCCCCAACCTCAAGGTCAGTCCTCTTTTACAACAGTGGCACCATGCAATATTTGCCCTTTTTTGACTGGGATATTTCACTCAGCATAATATTCTCCAGAGTCAACCATTTTGAATACTATTGCATGAGTTCCTTGTTTTTCAATGTAGCATAGTATTCCATTGTGTGAATATACCACAGCTTCTTTATCCATTCATTTGTTGACGGGAAATGTCGATACTTGTAGAGGGTCTTCGGCCTTTTGTTCATGGGGTGGCTATGAGACATGCTCGACTCAAAGGCAATAATCAACAACAGTAACAACAACAACATTTGTGCTATTAGAGTCATAGTGTCAAAATCATTTCAGTGTCTTTGACATCCTTCTCCAGTGTCAGTGCTCAATCCTGACCAGGAGAGAAATTCAAGTTGCAATTTATCTCAAAGAATTTATATAGTCTAAACTCTTTTACTGTCTAATTCTAGTTATCTTCTCTGCCTCCACTGCCTCCCCAGGCTTTGGTTACTCCACTGTTTTGTAGTCAACACTCCTGACAGTCCTTTGGCTCTGACTCCCACCAATTTAAGTCATATCAAGGCTCATCCAAAGGCTTAATGGGAGAAGTTTGATGATACAATCATGAAAATATTAATGAAATTCCAAGATGTAATAGGCTCTGAAAAGCCTAAGACTTTTCTAAAATTCTGACTCTCTAAACATAAGTGTATATTATTAGAAAATATCACAAATTAAGCAGAGGCTCAGACAAGTCAAAACCAAACAAAAAATAGTCCAAGAAATCTTATGCAGGATGCTTTAAGATGACTCTGACATCTTAAAGATAACATATGCAACCCTTTATACGTGTGCCTGATGTGGACTGTCCAGAACAAGCAGTGTCAGCTTTTAAGAGGGATGTTAGAGATTTGATGGTAAGAATGGGTCACTGTGCCAGAAACCCATCTTTCAGGAGTACCATGGTCTATCTGTCCCAGCATCTCCAGGGCACTGTTGACTCCTTCATCAATCATGAAGTAGGATGTCACAGTCACCTCATCATCCACTCTTTCTTTAAGAGGAGATCATTGGAGGTCATGTAGCAAAGGCACATTCACGTCCATACAGTCATTTTTTAGTTTCAATGGGAAATAAAGAAGAGTTGTGGTGATATCCTTGTGCGAGAAGACTTTGTCCTGACAGGAGTTCACCGCAGGGAAGATAAGGGGCAGATGTTACAAGGACTTCTATTTCAATATTTGCTCCTGAGGGGACCTCCTGCAGCTGTGTTTAACACAGGCCCAAGGGGTCTCATCAGAGGAACCATTAGTGAGCAGGATCAGGTGGTGAAAAGAAGGTCAACATGGAGCTTATGAAGGCAGAGGTTGGAGCAAGTGGGAAAGATCAGAGAGGTACCACACTGGAGGTTTTAGGCAGACAGTGGAGGTTGATAGAAGGTATGGATCAATTCATTTCATATGAACCGAGAGCTAAAGGGAACCTCACAACTGCTTACCTTCAATGCTCTTCTTGAGAAGCCAAAGGCTCAAGCTCAAGGGTCCCCTCCTTGCAGCATTTCCCCTCAGCACCAGCCCTACCCTGACTGAAGAATTATAACAATGCCTTTCAGTTGTGCGTGGTGAACCTGAAGAAAAAGATGCCTTCCTTTAAGGAGAGATTTAACACTAGCCTGGCCTGGCTCTGGGGACAAAGATGTTTTCGGAATCTCTAGGATGTGAATACTCTTTCTAACAATAGGGAGAAGCTTCATTTGCTTTGCTGGAATAACAGGACAGGAATAGCCAAGCTAGGGAGTCACCCAGGCTTGTAGGAGCTGATCTGGGCTAAATCCGGAAAGCAGGGATTCTTCTGCTTTATTCCTTGGGTTCTGGTAATTTGAAGGCAAGCTCTATCCCCATAATGCATGTGTCTAATAAGAAATGTACAGAACAAGCACTATCAGCTTTTAGGAGGGTCCATTGAGACTTTAAGGGAAGGGCATGTTATCAAGCCAATAAGGATTGCTTTTGGGAGAGTCCAGGAAAACTTGTCCCAACAAGTACAGGGCAAAGCTGATCCTGTCTTCAATCATCAGGTAGGATGCCCGCTCCTCCCATCTTCCTTTTTTTTTTTCCAGAGGAGATCGTTGGAGGTCATGAAGCACAGCCTCATTCACATCCGTACATGGCACTTGTTGTGTCACTTCGTGATGCCATTTTTAGAATATGTGGTGGTTTCCTTGTGGAAGAAGATATTGTCCTGACAGCAGCTCACTGCTGGGGAAGGTGAGGGGTAGAACCTCCAAGGACTCTTCACATTCCTACCACACGAGGGCGTTACTTCATCTGGGTATAACTCAGGCCCAGGAGTTCTCATCATCAGAACCATTTGAGAGTGAAATGAGGTGGTGAAAAGTGAGTCAACACGTAACCCAGGAGGTCAGAGAATGGGGCAAGTAGAAGAGGTTAAAGAAGGACCACACTGGCTATTTCTGGCAGATAGTGGAGGTTGAGAGCAGGGATGGTCAAGCCATATCATATGACCTGAGGGCAAAAGAGAATACCACAACCACCTACAATGCTCCTGGGAAACCAAAGGTTCAGCAAGTTCAAGATGAAGGGCCCCTCCCTCCAGCATTTCCCTCAGCAGCCGCCCTCCCCTCCCCAACTGTCACCTGCTTTAGGGCTCCAGTAGTGAGAACCTCTTCTTTTCTCTCTGTACAGACGCATGAATGTCTTCTTGGGGATCCATGATACTAAGTTGCAAGAAAAGACGTGGCAGAAAATTCGTTTGAAAAAAGCCATCCGCCACCCGAAGTATAACAATACGACTGATATTAATGACATCATGATACTACAGGTGAGGCTCACTCCCTTTTTCTCCTGCGCCCTTGGGTTCAAGAAATTTCTCCTTCCACCATGACCCCTGCCTTCCTCTTCCTGGCTGCTTCACTAATCCCAGGCGCTGGAGGAAGAAGGGATAAAGTGCAACCCACCTGGGTCTGGATGCCAACAGTCTCTGAGTTACCAGACTTTGTTGTTTCCTTCATCAGCTGAACACAAAGGCCCAACTGAGTGCAGCTGTGGGCCTGCTCCCCCTGCCTGGAGAAAGTGACCATGTGAGGCCTGGGCAGGTGTGCAGTGTGGCTGGATGGGGCAATATCTCTGACAGTGAACGAACAAGCAAGCTGCATGAGGTGGATCTTGTCATTCAGGAGGATTTCCAGTGTGAGAGCCGCGTGGAGTATTATGACAGGACCACTGAGCTGTGCGTGGGAGACCCTCAGAAAAAGATGTGTTTCTCTGAGGTGAGACTTAGCATTACTAGCCTTGCTCTGGAAAGCAGGATATTTCAGAAAGACCTGGAATGTAAAGATCTTTGCTAGCAATAGGGGGAATGCCTTCACCCACTTTTCTGTGATAACAAGAGTACCAAACAACCTAGTCACTCTAGCCTCTCTGAGCTTCCCAAGGTTAAGTCCAAAATGTGTTCCTCCAGAAAGATGAATTTGTGACTCCTTATTCCATCTCAAAGGGATAAGTGGCCTAGTGGTAGGAAACGTCACTGTAATTCCAAAGGTGCTCCTCAGGAGAAAGACAGACAATCTACTCCTGTGCAATTAATCATCTCTAAGATCTCACTGGAGGATCAATTATGGGTCAGTTTCACATTTGACAGCAAAGCAACAACAATAACATGCAACCTCAAACATCCCTAAGGCACAAAGAGCTTTCATTCATCTTCGACCTTAAAGATTTGTGATTTGAACCTTCTCAAAGATGCTCCATAAACATTATAGAGAAGATAATCCAATGAGAACTTCAACTGTATAATATTTAGGATTACTATGAACTGACATGTCCAGAACTTGTTTGGATTTTTTTTCTTTCTTTATTGTGGGGGAAATAGAGAGGATTGCTCCACCAACCTAGAGCATACATACAAGGAAAAGCTCTCCCTCCATGTTGAACAATCAAGACTATATAAATACTCAAAGAACTGTCATCACCCTGGTCAATGTACTGTCTTCCCTTTACCTTTCTTTAAACAGTAGCCTGGAAGCAAAGTTCCACAGCTCCTTAGAAGACAATATTCCTGAAGTTATAGATCAAAACTTAGGCATGAAACAACAATCATGACAAGCATCAGAATTTGGCATCCTGGGGGTCCCCAGAGAGGCCTATAAACCCCCCCTCTTTTTACCTCATTGGGGCAGTTTTCTCCCAGAATGTAGAGAGAGGCAGGACCAGCAGAACAATTAACTCTGCCTTTCCTGTCTCTGTTCCCAGGGAGACTCTGGAGGCCCCTTGGTATGCAGAAATGTGGTGCAGGGCATTTGTACCACTGTAGTTGAAAACGCAACTTCCCCATGTGTCTTCACCAAAATCTCCAGTTTCTTACCCTGGATAAAGAAAACAATAAAAGGTCTCCAAGTGGAAGAATCACCCTGAGCCCCTCTATGCTTGATCATCTACTCTTAACAGCAAGAACCTTAATAAATTTGTCTTAACTGCAAGGAAATTATTGTGTCTTCATTATTCATTTACCTTTCTAGCAGACAGCAATTCTGGTTGAGGGAGCTCTGGAGACCTATTGGATAAGGAGTTTACTGCCATCCCAAGTGTCAGCAGTTCGAATCCACCAAATGCCCCAAAGAAGAAAGATGAAAAATAGCTTACAATGAAATTTATACCCTCTGAAAACCCAGGGCAGGATCAGGTATGAGTGAGTTCTTTCTTGAAGGCAGTGAGATTTTGTTCTTTCTTGTTTTGTTGCGCTTTTAATCTTTATTGAGGCCGACCTAGAACATAAACATGTTTTGAATAATTTTCTTTTCCCTACTCTAATCCACAACTCATATGCAAGGAGTCAACCAGCTCTTTCTTATCTGTCATGTCTCTAAGGCTTGCCCTTCTCCAGGGCTAAGGCAGAACACTCTCAATGGGACACCCAAGCCTCCCAAGTTCTATGCGCAGATGAACTATTCAGCTCTGCTTCCTGTGCTATGAGGCAGAGAGCAAGGGGCGCCCACTGGGTTCAGGAAGACAAGCTGGTCCATCCTAAGGCTCTGGGAAGAAGAAGAGCGGAACATTTCTGCCTTTTGATCAAGAAAACTGGCAGCTTTGAAGGGTTAGGACCTTGAGAACATCCTCATTCCCCCATGGGATTCATTTCCTTCCTTAGCTCCAAACCCTGTTCTGAACTCAGGGCCTAGTTCAGCATCTAATCTGCTGGCTACTCTTTCTCTTTCATGTCTGTTTATTACTGAGACTTCTCAAAGTTCAACAGATCCTTTCTCTTGCAGACCATGCTGAAGATAGACACCTTCTCATCTCTCCCATACACTAGGAATTCCTAGGAACATGTAGAGTTCTAATAGGGCTTATAACAGAGAAGCCAACCTCGGTCACTCTGGCAGAGAAGGACCTTGGAGGAGCTGACACCAGGTAGGGCCCTGAGAGGACTGACAATAACATTCCAGAAAGCTGGGCTACAATTCTTACTGGGCAGAACTAACTCAAACTCCTTCCAGTACGACATCCAGCCCACTAGCAGTCATAAACTCTGGGACCATTGGCCACTTTGTGACTCGTTAGTCTGAATCCCTTTGAGCTTCTCTTTCTTTGTCACTAGTGGCCTATAGGGTAATAATAATGGGTGATAACTCACTTATTGAAATACAGTCAGAACCAACACATACCCACCCCGTGCTATGTCAGTCCTTAGGCTAGAACAATTACCTTTGTGTTTTAGGACAATGAAGCACAACTTTTGCCACCAACAAACTTGCAAATACACACTGAATCCTACAAAAAGCCAGCCTAGAAATGAACACAACAGGTCTATCATATGTACCTAAACAAAGTTGGGTTGGGTGCTTTCAGTGAATTTGTCTACTGCCTGGCCCTTTCTTTAATGAGTCCATGTGGCCTAAATCTACACAGGACAACTACAGAAAGAAAAGTACCTTTTATTGTTGGCCACTCTTCCTATAAGTTGTCATATATGGCCCAAGAATTGATGGGTGGTATGTTTGTCATATATATATATATATTTACACACACACACACACACACACACACACATATATAGCATATATTAAAAGAGGGGGGAATGATAGGGTGGTATTAATAAGTTCCGAATTCTCTATATAGGTATCAATTATAAAACTGTAGTTTTCTCCAGCCTGCTGGACTGGTTGCTTGACCTTGGAGTTCTTATTGTCCTTTCTGTGATTTATCTGTTAATTAGAAGAGATGCATCTCCTAGATTAGCTGTTCTCTTTAAAGCTGTTTCCCCCAATCATATGTAAATTGTAACTTAATCTATCTATCTACTTCCCAAGGGAGTATCTGGGTGTGAATGATTTTCTTTCAGATATAGAAATTCTTTGATTTTACAAACAAAACTTTATTGTTAAATAAGTTGGTGTCTCACCCTCCTTTAAAAGTCCATGACCACTCCCAGACAGGGAGACAGTCTTGGAGATGACTGGCTGTCTCCAAGATCTGTGTAATAAAGTGCATTTATGGATATTGCAAACCTTATAGAACTTTGTCAGCTGGGATGAATTGCACTGGACCTCCCCCTCTACAGGGGCACTTGTCAACCATTTCAGCCCTAAAAGCCGGTACCAAGGCAGTGGTTGTGGTGAACATCCCTGTCACCACACATCAACTTACACATTTCCTGTTAGATATGAAAAAAGTGTTGGCAGTAAGAGAAAGAAAGAAGCTGGTCTCAAGTAGTAGCCATGTGACCTAGAAGAGAGGACCAGAGTGGGGAGCAAACAGACAAAGACAGGTTCCTTTTCTGGGGCTTTCAAGGACACTCAGAAAGAGTGGTAGTTTGCCCAGGAATATGGGGAGGGGTCCTGTCAATGTGTAATCAAACCCAGGGCCTTATCAGGATCCTGGCATTTAGTTGTCTTATCACTATATCTAAATTATCAGGTTTTTTCCAAAGAATAGTCCTGCCTTGGGGTAAGGCCTATGGATAGTAGTAACCTTCTTCCTTCACTTCCTCAGTTGGAATGCCCTTTGAAAAGATGCTTTATTGAATGTGCATGCATCATCCCCTCTCATCCAGGATGTCAGTGGCTCTGTGTGGTGAGGAGGGTGTCCACATAGAAGAAGGTCTGGGATAATACTTTCCTGATCCTGACCAGGCTCTGTACCCCACTCTAGGTCTCCAGGATTCCCCCTAACTCCCAAGTTATTGTTGACAGTGTACTTTGTTTCCCTATTTAGTATCTGTTCCTTTTATAAAACTGGCATAATAATGGTTATAGCCAAAGTATTGGTAAGCCTACAATTTTATTTTTCATTTTACTTTCATATTTATTTTTCTTTTTTATAAGGAAATGATCCGAATGATTTGTTTCTTGTATAGTATGTTGTTATTTTATTGTTGTGTGCCTTTGATTCAGAACTGACCCAATAGCTGACCCTCCAGCAGTCGTTCAGAGGCAGTTAATCATATGAGCTGAGACTGCACATCTTTTCCCTGGTAGATTTGCTGCTAGATTGTGCCTCCGAGGTAGTTGTCTGGACAGTTGCCTGAGAATATAACTTTGGACAATGCATAGGAAGTTAGCATGTTGCTATGAACAGATTTCAGCAGATCATCCTCTAAGTAGGAATACAAGCTGCACTATCTGCTCCCAAAACTCAAGCAATGGAAATACCACAAATCTCAGGTTATCCAGGTCTAATCAGCAACTGATTTGGGGATAAGGACTCATCATCAGACTCCCATGCATTAGAGGACCCGCTCCACCACAGCTAATAGTAGAATAATAAGAGCCTGTGGAGCTATGTTGGCTCACTGGTAAGGAATTGTGGTACTAAAACAAAAGCAGTTCAAGTTCACTAGCTTCTCTAGGGGAGACATATAGACAGTCACCTCTCATGTGACTTATAGCCTCTGAATACCACTGGAGATTCAGCTATGGGTCAGGTCTGACTCCACAGTACAGAACAATTACCAGGCAGAAGTACCTTTGCACATTTGAGCAATTAGCACATTAAAAGCTGATAAATTCCAAGAAAACACCTCAGTGTTACTAAAGTGGGTGGGTGAAGGAACCCATCAACCTACAGCCCTGTGTTACCATTAGTGTGGACTTTATTCTTGGTCTGTGTCCACCTTCCTTCCATTTCCTATAATCCAAAATCCAAGGTACCCGTGAGGTTCCAAGAGGTATTTTCTTTTATCCTATTGCTCACAGGTTCTTTTGGGATGTAGGTCCACCTTCTGCCACAACCAGAAGCACGTGGAGGATGGAAGAAACAGGATACGTTTTCAGTTCTCTATGATATTTTTCTTTCCTGGGCTAGAATTTTCAGCTCTTCTCAACCCATCCCATCATGGGTTCAGATTCCAGCAACTGCAAGGTCATTCGGTAGACTGTGCTCCTTCAGGCTGGTAAAGGTAGAGGGTCAGTGGTCAGTGAAAGAGAACAAGACCCTCAACAATATGAAGATAGAGTAACTACAAAAATGTGTTCAAACATGGGGAAGGTCATGAGGATAGTACAATAGGGCAAGGTTCAGATCAGTTGTATTTAGAGTGGCTATGAATCTTTGTTAACTTGAAAGCACATACTATATTTTAAGCACAATTCCCTCATTTCCTCCCTTTTTAAAATTCATTTTAAT